TGGAATGCAAACAGTGGTATATGATGAGGTGGTAAGATGCAACACAAACACAGTCAACAATTCCCTTTAACCATATAGATTGAAGTATAAAGGGTTATCAATCCAAAATGGGAAACTTGTTACTCTTTGAGAGTATGAAACAACCTGAAAGTCAAGCAAGCAGTTATAGATTTGAAGTAACACTAACAACCTAAAAATAATGAAAAGCAGTGCAATAAAAGTAAATAAAGCAGTGAAGTGTCAGCTCGACCAAGAGCTCGAGTCGAGTAGAGCAAAGTACCAGCTCGATCGAGTTTAGGGACGAGTTGAGACAAACAAAGCTAAAGGTGACGACTTTAACAAGATAAAGAGAGAATTAGGGTTCAAGACAGGGTTTTGCAATCAAAGGAATCTACACTTAATCAATCTAGCTCTTAAAACTCCTTGTATCAAGGCTTCTCTTGATATTGGGCTTCTCAATGCCTAGCCAACCCTTTCCCAAGGTGAAGGCTATCAACCAAGGAATGATCTCAGAAACAGGGGGTTAGCCAGTGAGAATCAAACCTTGGAGGCTATAGGATCATTGCCCAAACTAATCCATCCAACCCCTTAGACCTCTATTGTCTAGAGCAAGAGATATTGGAGCTCTTAGTGGATCTTTTCCAGCGAATGCCATCACTTTCGTGTGGGGAGTCGCCTAAGGACTTACAAGCCAGGGGTAGTGGTCATGTAGCCTTAAGATCTATCCAAAAGAGAGAGAATCTAGATTAAGACCATAAGCTAGAAGGATTAAGCATATGAAACCTCTAATCTATCCCATCTCAAACCCCAATGGGTAACTACTCACTACACATGAATGTAAACACAAGCAAATGCAATAAAAGAGACATCATAAGAAAGAGGAGATGAAATTAAACAACTTTTATTGAAATAAGCAAGTGCAAATACAAGAGAGATTATCCAGGATCTAAGATTCAAGAAGCAAGAGCTTCAAGAACACAAAGAGAGGATTAGATCTCTAAAAAGTAAAAGTACAAATAAATTAAAAGAAGCTAAAACAAAAGTAATCTAAAGCTTTAAATACAAAGAGGATTAGGTTTAGGGTCAAAGGGAAGTCAAGGGGGAAGCAACATTTTTCGGGTTTGACTTTGACTCCCCAGCTCGATCGAGTTGAAGCTTGGCCGGTCGAGTTGAGGAACTCGACCGGTTGGTCGAGTGGACGGTCGAGCTGGTCTTCAAGATGATCAAGATGAAAGCTAAAACTATGCAAAAGATGCATAAAAGATGTGCTAAAACTATGTAAAATGCAAGTACATCAACACCCCCAAACTTGAACTTTGCTTGCCCTCAAGCAAACAAATAGAACAAGAAAGAGATGAGGTTTGAAAATAGCTGATTCAACACTTAAAAACATGTCCTCAAAAGCGATTTGCTAAATGTCCAACTTAGAGATTCTAGAATGCAACAAGGTGAGAGATATTCATTAAGATTTAACCATGCTTATCAACATCAATCCCACTTCACAGTCACTCAAACAATGCATTCAAATCAGCAAATCCCTTTAACATTCATTAAGCAAAAACAGTGAACCAAAAACATGCAAGATCAATCAACTCATTTGGTTTCAAGGGTTTATGGGTTAAGAGACAAAGAGGGTCTCTTTTGTATGGTGGTTTAGTAACAGGGATCTCTCAAGAAAGTGGCTTTGCTTTGGCAGAAGGCTAAGTGTTAGAACCAAAGATGATGCAAGAACAGCAGCTCGAGCCGCCTAATCCTAACTCGATCGAGTTCAACACTTAGAGCTTTTTAGAACAAAATCCTAACTACCCTTTTTGGCATTTCGCCTTTGAAACTGAGGAGCTTTGCTCACTTTTCTTTTAAGAACTTCCTAGGGAGAGGCTTCTTGAGGTAACATCTAGCGGTTTGGGATTTTCTAAACACTTAGGGAACTTTTCTTTCCTTTTTGACACTTGAGGCTTTGCCTTCTTTTCATTCTACTTAGAACCCTTTTTACTTTCCTTTTTTAACTTCCCAAACCTTTACTAGACCCTTTTAAACACTGCCAACTCCCTGGACTTAACCAAACTCTTTTTCCTTTGGGTTTTTCCCAACTTTTACCACTTTTCTGGTTTTTGACACCCAACTCGATCGAGCTCGAGTTGGCACCCCCAAACTTAGCCTGAAAACAATCCCAAGAGAACTAGACAACTAGAACTACTGCCCCTGCCGGTTTAAACACAACACCTTATGCTAAGCAAAGCCAAGAAAGGTTCTCACATTCGCACAAGAGATAATATGGGGTTTGAAATGAAAAGGCTTAGGTTTAAGGTGTGGTAACTGTCTCAAAGATAGAGATCAGCTATCTGGACAAGCAAAGGGATATGAAAATAGGTAAAGAATGTCCAGATATGTATGTGGTAGCCATGAGTTGAAATCAAATGCAAGCATTGGTAATTAAAGATCAAGTTATGGTTCAAATAGATAGGGAAATGCATCAAATCACAGCAATGGTTGAATGAGATGTGCATGCAGTGATATGATCAAGATAAACATGGTTCTTGCTGCTCAATCAATCTCACCCTAATGCACAAAAGAATCTAAAAACAGGGCACTCAAGAAATCGCAAAAGATGGACAAGTTTTCAAAGTCAAATCAACAATGCAAGTGAAAAATGCAATCCTAAACAAGTCTAACAAATATGAATGCAAAAAGATGAAAATATTTTTGGATTTTTTTGAAAATTTTATGATTTTTTTGGTTTTTCTATGCAAAAGATAAATGAAAAACTAAGAACAAAGAAAACAAGGTTAAATCATCTCTTGAACCCTCCCCCAAACTTAAATCACACAGTCCCTTGTGTGAGAAAAATTAGTGAAAGATTCAAGAGGGCAAAACCAAGAAAAAACAAGAACAAATGCAAGAAAATATGAAATGGTATATACAAGGGTTGGTGTTTGGATACCTCAGTGTCCCCCAAAGAACTGGGAGACTAGGTCGTGGTCTGGAGATGGGAGACGGCCATCAGGAGCACTCCATGCAACTGGGGTTGCCTCTTGCGGCTCACTCGATCGAGCTTGTGGCTCCTCTTCCTCCTCTTCTTCATCGTTGAAATGTGTGTGGCTTCCTTGGCCTTGGTGGAGCATTGGTAGCTCGTACTGTCCATAGGGGTTCCATCTACTCCGGGGAGGCTCCTGGTAAGGCATGGGATCGTATTCAAATCCCGGATCCTCGAACTGGGGCTCCTCCTGGTCAGCTCGACCGTCAGCTCGATCGAGTTGAGTTTCCTCTGTTTGGACTCGATCGAGTCCGGTGGTCGAGCTGGAGCGTCTGGCCTTGGAAGTCTTCCTCCTTCTCTGCGTGTTGTCTTCTCCTTCCCTTGGCTCGAAAGAAGAGGCTCTGTGAGGCTCTTGGGCAGGGAGTCTCCTTGGAGTGGTGAGGAGATCTACTCCTAGGGAATGTGGGGGCCTTGGACTTCTTCTTCTTGCTTGAAGAACCAGAAACCTTCTTCTCCAAACTCTTTGATCTTGCTCACCATCTTGTCCATGGACTTTTGCATCTTCTCATGGCTTTCCCTTGCCATTTGTTGAACTTTTGGAGAAGTCCAATCCTCTTGTGAGCAGCCACAACAGAGGGGTTCATCCTTGGAGCCTCATACTCCTCAAAGTAATAGCACTCAGGCTCACCCAATCAGCGCTTTCCTGCACTCCATCTTCAGCTTGAGCCTCAGCTCGATCCTCAGCTCGATCGAGCTCGATCTCTTCTTCTTGCAAATCTGCTTCATGCCCAACCAAGTGTACACAGGGGGTCTGAAATCAATGTTTGTACCTCCTAGGACCGTGGTGAGCTCAGGGTTGGGCAGAGAAGCTTGGAGAGTCCAGCCGTGGGTGGGTGAATTTGAATTGGAATCTCCCATCCAACTCCTTGTGCTCAATGAGAGGTTGGTCTTGCAAAACTTGATGTCCATCCAACCTGGTGGAGTAGACCTTCTCTTGTCCAGTTGAACTCCAGCTGCACAAAGAATTGGTGTGATCACCCCTCCAACACTAAGCTTTCTTCCTCTTTGGTGCCTAGTGTTGTAAGCTGTGACCTTGTAGGCTTGGAGCTGCTCAAGGAGAGGCATGAGATTCCCTGCGTGTGCCCTATCTCCTCTGATCTTCTTCCCATCCCTTGTGCGTGAGATGATAGGCTTGATTCCCATGTCAAGGAGCTTCACTTCTCCCTCATTGATTGTCCAGTGGCTTTCCTTGCAAAGAAGGTGTTGGCAAGAGCCTTGTGACATATCTAAGCACTGGGCTCCTGATCTGGCAGCCTTGGACCTTGAGGAAGAGTACCCTCTTCAGCTATTGTAGCCCAACTCTTTGGAGTTCTTCTTCCTTGATGTTCCATGGTTACCTTCTCCATAGTGAACCCAAACAGATCTCAAGCTGCCTAAAGGTCACCATCTTCTTCTCTCCCTTTGCTAGAAGTTATGTACCCCCAACCTTGGTCCAACTCAGCTCGATCGAGCTCATCAAACTGTGATGCTCATTGAGCCAAAAACTCACAAGTCAACTCCTTGTAGACTCCATGCGGTGAGAGAAGAACTTGGCCAATTGCATGTTCTTGAGCACCAACTCCACATCCTCAAAGATCCAAGCCTCTCATGGTGTCATCATGTGGGTACTTGGTCTCCACAAAGTCCATGGAGAAGAGAGCATTGTAGTGCTCTTGGTACATGGGGAGCTCATCCTCCTCTTGCTCTTCCTCAGCCTCTTCCATTGGCTCATCTTGGTTCCCCTCTTGGTCATCTTCATCAACCAATTGGTTCACCTCTTCTCCTTCCTCATCACTCTCAGTTTCCTCACTCCTTCCTTCATTTGGAGAGCCATTTCCCTCCTCTTGAACAAGGTTCACTCCAATCTCAAACTCCCCTTGCTCACTCTCACTACTATAGGGTCATTCCTCTTCTTGGTTCTCCTTTCTTCCCTCAATCTCTCACTCTCAGACTGTCCTCCTCAGAGTAGACATATCCTCTGCATCAGACCTTCCATCCTCTGATCCATCCTCTTCAAATCGGCTTGCATCTTAAGCATTGCTTGTCAACCATTCTCCTCTGTGAAGCGCGGCTTCCCTCACTGTCTGTCATCCTTGTTACTCTGTTTCTTCACTAAAGTACCTGAAATGCATCAAAGATTACAAAGAATTAGAGTTGTAATGATCGGTTTGGTCAACTCGACACTCAGCTCGATCGAGTCAAAAAACTCGAGTGACAAACTCGATCGAGTTGGGTGAAAACAGAGTATAACCAAACCTAATTCAAGATTAAGAGCTGGAAAAGGATGCTAATCAATCAAATTGAACCAAGAACAACTAGTAAATGGAACAATGAGCAATTCTAGAGAAGTACTAATCATCTTAACCAAAACCAAACTCAAATTCAATTTCAAGCACATGCAACAAGTTTAAAGGCAAAACAGAGGTGAGGTGAAACAAACTAACAAGATATACAGCAGAGGCGAAATATGAGCAATTACTCAAGAACAAGTCCACAAGGGACACATGCAATCAAAAATCAAAGAGAAACAAGCAATAATGGAAATCGAGATGGAATCAAGGGTTTTAGGGTTCATACCTTGCTTGAATGATGAATTGAAGAACAGTAACTAGAACCCAAAGAAACGTGAAGAACAAGAGGAAATCGCAAAAACTTAAGAGAGAAAGAGAGGATTCGAAAAATTTCTTGTGGTGAAGAGAGAGGATGATTTCAGAAATTTTAAGATTGTGGGAGAGAGAGAGAGTGGATTCGATCGAGTTATGGGGAAGAGGGGTGTTTGAGATGTGTGGTTGAGATTAAAAGATGAAATAAAGAGGGAACAAGAAACTAGGGATTCTCTGATCAAATTAGGGTAGTGGGGGACCAAAATCAGCTTGTGGGACCCACTCCCTTGACCAAGAAAACGGTTATGAATTTGAAATTCAAAAACTTACCTCGGTCGAGTTGTGTAGCTCGATCGAGTTGCCCTGGTTTCTAGCTCGATCGAGTCGGTCGAGCTGGCTCCTTGACACCTAAACTTAACTTATTCAAAGGTTAAAACATAAAGATAGATAGAAATTGCATAAATAGAGTATGTACAAGGATAAACATGGGACTTCCTCCCAAGTGAGCTTGTTTAAGGTCCCATAGCTTGACCTTTACCTTCTTAGGCATTGGTTGAGCTAGTCCCACCATCAAGGGTGATAGTGAGGACTTGAGACAGAAGCTCCTTTAGCTTGGTTGGGTCCCTGGACTGTTCTGAAGTCACCAAGGCCTTGGCTCTAGAGAATGGCCTTGATCTCCCCTTGTACCTTATCTTGTACTCAATCTTCCCATTTTCAAACTTGGTGGGGAACAAAGTCATTGTGAGCTGAGATGGCTTGACTGAAGGGGCCTGAGCTGGTGGATCCTTTCTTTTATCTCCTGGTCTTGCCTTAGAGGCTGCATCCTCCCCTTCTTTAGAGCCCTTCCTAGTGGCTCATCAAACAAAGCTTGAAGGCTCTCTTCATCAAGCACACAAGGGGCTTGAACAAGTCGCTCAGCTCTTGGCCTATCAGATCGTGGTTTCTCAACTCTAGCCCTCTCAAGACGTGGCTTCTCAATCCTTGGTCCTCTCTCATCCTTATCCTTCCCAACTCTTGGTTCCTTGTCAACCCTTTCCTTCACAACCTTTGTAGCTCCATGACTCTTAGAACTGAGATTGGTACTGTCAATTGTGGCACAAAAGTCTGAACCTCTAGGCTGCAAGCGATATGACACCAAACTATTCACCTTGTGAAGGATCACTTCTTGCTTGTGAAAGTCTATTGAAGCGCCAACTGTACTAAGGAAAGGGGTTCCCAATAACAAGGCAAATCCTTCTCTTCTTCCATTTCCATCACAGTGAGATCAGTTTGGATGATGCATTCTCCAATTTTCAAGTGATAGTTCTTGAACACTCCAAGAGGAGACTTAGAAGTTGCATCTCCAAACATGATTGAAGTAGTAGGGCGCTGCAAGGCTCCAGCTATGCCTAGCTTCTCTGCCATGGAGAGAGAGATCAGATTGATGCTTGCTCCAGAATCCACTAAGGCATTGTCAATCTCAAGATGCCCAAGTGTGCAAGGGAGAGTGAATTTCCCTTGATCCTTGACCTTTGGTAGGAAGGTGGGTGAAGTAAGCAGGTTGAACTGATGAGTAGACTCTTGTAGGACCTCTGAAACTTTATCACTGTTGGCTAGAACATCCTTGACCATTTGCATTTGATCAAATGCCTCACTCATGCTATCCATAGAGGCAACTCAATTCCAATCCCACTGAGATCTCTTCTGAACTTGTGAATCACTTCCTTGTGACCTTGACTAAGTAGGCGAGACGAGGAAGCGGCAACCGGTTGATAAGGATCAAGCAAAACAGGCTGTCGGACAGAAGAGGTCGGACTCGATCGAGCTAGAGTTGGACTCGATCGAGCTGCCGATCGAGCTTGTCGTGCGAGCTCAACTGGTGAAGTGTGAATGGCCACAGTAGGTGCATGCACTTCTGGTTGATCAATCTGGACTCCAGGAGCCTCAGCAGCAACAATCTCTTCATCATTCAGCAGTAAACAAAAATCTTCAATGACCCTTTCTTGATCCTCTTCTTCAACAAGTCCTTCTTGAGTGAAGATGACCTTGCACTGTTCCTTGGGGTTCTGAATAGCTTTACCAGGTAGTTGTCCTTGCTTTGTAGCAGCAGCAACAGAAGAAGCATGATTCTCCAGAGAGTAAACCCTTGTGTTGAGGTTCTCGATCTTAGAGTTTATTTCAGCTAGCTTCTTGCTTGTGTCCACTACCCCATCAGCTTGCCCTTGAAGTAGTTGCTTTAGCATTGCTTTGAGCTCATTCTCTTGTGAAGGTGCAGGCTGGGGCGGTTGGTGGGGGAAGCCTGGTGGGATATTCATTTGTTGTCCAGGGAAAGTGCCTTGTGGTCCTTGGTAATTGTTCTTTTGACCATACCCATGTTGTGGCACCTGACTCGATCGAGCTGCTTGTTGTTGAGGATATACTTGGTCCTGAGGGTTAGCAACATCAGTGTTGCGGTATGACATGGCAGGGTTGGACTTGTAATTATAGTATCCTTTGTTGTAACCTCCTTGCCCATTGCTCATGTAGCACACCTCAGCAAATTGTGTATCCTCCCCTTCTTGGACTGGTTCCATCTCCTCAGCAGACACAAAGTTGACTTTCTTCATTGTGGACTGAGCTAGGATCAGCTTATCCAACTTCTCATTCAATGCCTTAACATCTTTTCTCAACTTTTCGTCTGACTCGATCGAGTGGTGGGTCGAGCTCCGGTTGGTGCGATCATACTCTTCTCCATAGCTTCCATTTGAGTTAGCTATGTTCTCCACAAGTTGCCAGCCATCATCTACATCCTGGTTGAGGAAGTTCCCATTGCTAGCTGTGTCTAGCATCTCCCTATACCTAGGCAAGCATCCTCTATAAAGAGTGGAGAGTAGGGATTCATTGTTGAATCCATGGTGTGGGCACTGACTTGTGTAGCCTTTGAACCTCTCCCAAGCCTCTGCGAATGTCTCATTGTTTCGCTGGATGAAGCTGGATATCTCTCCTCTAAGCTTGGCTGTGCGACCGGTGGAGAAAAACTTAGCAAGAAAGGCCTTCTTGGCAAGAATCCTAGATCCTGGATAATCTCTTTTGTATTTGCACTTGCTTATTTCAATAAAAGTTGTTTATCTTTATCTCCTCTTTCTTATGATGTTTTTTCATTGCATTTGCTTGTGTTTACATTCATGTGTAGTGAGTAGTTACCCATTAGGGTTTGAGATGGGATAGATTAGGGGTTTCATATGCTTAATCCTTCTTGCTTATGGTCTTAATCTAGATTCTCTCTCTTTTGGATAATCTTAAGGCTACATGACCACTACCCCTGGCTTGTATGTCCATTAGGCGATTCTCCACATGGAAGTGATGGAAATCGCTGGAAAATATCCACTAAGAGCTCCAATAACTCTTGCTCTCGAAATGGATTTCAAGGGGTTGGATGGATTAGTTTGGGCAATGATCCTATGGCCTCCAAGGTTTGATTCTCACTGGCTAACCCCCTGTTTCTGAGATCATTCCTTGGTTGATAGCCTCCACCTTGGGAAAGGGTTGGCTAGGCATTGAGAAGCCCAATATCAAGAGAAGCCTTGATACAAGGAGTTTTAAGAGCAGATCGATTAAGTGTAGCTTCCCCTAGTTGCAAAACCCTGTCTTGAACCCTAATTCTCGCATTAGCTTGTTAAAGTCGCTGCCTTTATTGCTTTTTACTTCAACTCGACCCTAAACTCGATCGAGCTCGGTACTCTTTCCAACTCGACTCGAGTCCTTGGTCGAGCTGTTGCTCTACTGCTTTTACTTTCTCATTTTGTTAGGTTGTTAGTGTTACCCCATATCTTTACTGCTTGCTTGACTTCCTGGTTGTTTCATATTCTCATAGAGTGACAACTTCTCCCATTTTGGATTGATACCCTTTATGCTATAATGACTATCATGGTTAAAGGGAATTGTTGACTGTGTTTGTGTTTGCATCTTACCACCTCATCATATACCACTGTTGCATTCCACCACATCTCATTTCATATCATTTCACACCACACACAAATCCTATCATCAATCGGCTTTCAAGCAACTGAAAGCATACTTGTCAGAACTTCCTATCCTATCGAAACCTCTCGAAGGCGAACCGCTTACCTTTACCTTGCAGCTTCGCCAGCCACAGTAAGCGGCATGCTCATTCGAGAAGAACGAGACGAACAGAAGTCCGTATATTACGTCACCAAAACGTTAATAGACGCAGAGACCAGATATCCTCCTATGGAAAAGCTGGCTCTAGCCCTCGTCATGTCCGCAAGTAAACTGAGACCGTACTTTCAATCCCACTCCATTGTAGTCATGACATCGCAACCATTGCGCACTGTTCTACACAGCCCCAACACGTCCGGTCGCTTAGTAAAATGGGCAATCGAGCTGAGCGAATATGATATTGAATATTGAGCAAGAACTTGCGCAAAAGCCCAAGTGCTCGCGGATTTTGTCATCGAACTAACAGCTCAAGCTCCGGATAATAACAGTCAGAATAAAATATGGAGACTCCATGTAGATGGAGCTTCCTCGAAACAAGGTTCCGGAGTAGGCATAAAGATAGCCTCGCCTACAGGAGAACTACTCGAACAGTCGTTCAGACTCGGCTTTGCCGCCTCGAACAACGAAGCAGAGTACGAAGCCCTCATCGCTCGACTCAGGCTCGCGATAGGGAGAGGAGCTCGAGAGCTCCATGCTTATAGTGACTCTTAACGCGTAACAAGCCAATACCACGGCGAGTACGAAACGAAACACGAAAGGATGGAAGCCTACCTAAAAGTAGTTGCGGGCTGACGGAACAATTCGATCGTTTCGAACTAACCAGGATCCCTCGAGGGGAAAATTCCGCAGCCGACGCTCTAGATGCTCTAGCCTCCACATCCGACCCACTACTCAAAAGAATAATACCCGTCGAGGGAATAGATAACCCAAGCATCGACATCGCCATAAAATCGGCCGAACCCAAAGAAATCGCCACAATAACAAACGATTCAGGCACCAGTGAACAAACGCCCGAAGCTAGCAGAAGCTTGATCGAACAACTCGGATCTCCCATCGAACTTCAAGTCCCCGAAACAGCAGACCCCGAGGGGACTGCTCGGGAAAGACAATTCGTCACAGACGAACAATACCACGCTCGACCAGATTGGAGAATTCCAATCTTCGAATACATACAGAACAGGACCCAACCCTCTGACAAATGGGAAGCTCAAAAACTCAGAGCAAAATGGTCACGATACTGTATAATGACTGACAAATTATACAAACGAAGTCTAGTTGAACCATATCTAAGATGCGTCAACGGACTGGAAGCCTTGGCAATTCTAGCCAATACTCACGACAGAATATGCGGATCCCACTCCGGTGGACAAGCTCTGGCTAATAGAGTCAAATGCCACAGATAATTCTGGCCCACAATGCTAGCCGATTGCGACAATTACGCTGCAAAATGCGACAAATGTCAATAGCACGCACCAATAATTCATCAGCCTGCAGAACTATTGTCCTTAGTCTCTTCTCCGTATCCTTTCATGAGATAGGCTATGGATATAGTAGGTCCGATGATACCTTCCGGAAGGAAAAGACACCAATACCTGCTCGTATTAACCGATTACTTCATGAAATGGGTAGAAGCTAAAGCTTACCCAAAAATAGAAGCAATCGACGTAACAGACTTCGTCTGGACATAAATTCTTTGCAGACACGGGATCCCGCATGAGATCATAACCGATAACGGATCCTAATTCATATGCAGAGCCTTCAAAAGGTTCTGCAAAAAGTACAAAATAAAACTGACCCATTCCACGCTGCGATATCCGCGACGAATAAAACCGTCATGAACAACATCAAGAGACGCCTCGACTCGAGAAAGGAAATGTGGTCTTACGAGATCAACGCACTTTTATGGGCCTGCCGTACGACGCCGCACAAAGCCACAAAAGAAACACATGGCATACGGCATCGAAGCCGTAATCCCAGCTGAAATCAAAGTCACAAGCCTTCGACGAGACCACAGTCCCAACAGCCCAGAACTCAACGAAGACATGCTAAGGGACAGATTGGACCTAATCGAAGAGAAGCGAGATCAAGCCCTGGTCTGTATCCAGAATTATCAAAACACAGTAACTCGCTATTATAATTCTAACGTCAAACAGCAAAGATTCAAAGTGAACGACCTAGTCTTACGAAAAATCTTCAAAGATCCGGGAGGAAAACTCCGACCACCCTGGAACAGCCCCTTCCGTATAACAGAAGTAGTACGCGACGGCATCTACAAGCTCTACGATTACGTGAAGAAGGTACACGAACCGCATCCCTGGAACGCAGCCAACCTAAAACGATATTACTACTGAGTAATCAAACAATCGAACTACGTAAAGGCTTGATCCCCCGACGGTGTACGTAGGCAGCTCACACTCGATTTCAGCCGCCCTCCTATCCAACATAATTCACTCCACGAGCAGAAGCCTTTCGCCTTCTACATCTCACCTTTTTCTTTTCTTTTTTTTGTTTGTTTTGAAGGGGCAATGCCTCCATTGTAACCAACTTCGCCTCTTCAATAAAACACAATTTTTTATTACTTTCTGATTCTCTTTGTCCACGCAACCTGTTAACTTAGCTCGACGACTTAAACGTAGTACATACTTTACTCCAGTCGGGCTCACGCGAATAACTATCACAACATACGTACGATCTCTTAAAACAATCTACATCGTAGATCTCTTAAAAACGACCTATGACTTATGAGCTCGGATCCACGAACGATCCACCAAAAATTTCTGGCCAGACTAACCTCTTGAGCTCATCTATTCGCAGAACACATCGAACCCAAACTCTATCATACGTTCATAACAAGTTAACACAAACGAACCTAACGACGTAACCAAACAAGTTGAAATACCTCAACTCGAATCACCCAAAACTCGACTTAAAGTCAGTCGAATCATCAAACCAAACTCTTTATCCTTAACATCGATGAATCGCGATCAAGCACGAGCTCGAGTGGCGCAAAGATAAAAAAAATACTTAGTAGAAATTCACCTACGAAACCATATTACTGCCAAAGAAATTGAAGCGAGCTTTAGCTCGAAATAAATTTGAGCCCATACTTAACCGAAATCCAACTACGAACAACTCAGTTTCGACACAAAGGCTTTCAGCCAATAACCGAACATTCGATAAACTTTAAACCGAAATACGATTGTAATACGATTACAACAGTAAAGACCTTAGCCGAATTCTGGTTGCGAAATCCGCAAAACTGATGAACCAAAAGCAAAACACATCCGCACATAGAACTATCGAGCTCCAGCTCGAAATCCAGAAAAACGATTTCAAACTAAAGGCAAAATAACACGAAATAGCTAAAAGATACTTAGCATAATAAAAGGCACAAAACCAAACGAAATCCAAGTTCATGAAACCAAAACATAAAGGATTAAAGCCCTCCCGGGCACCAAGTGTCAGAAATTATTGAAAGCGATTAAAGAGAAAACAAGCAAAAACGAGGATCACTCCTCCGTCCGACCCTCGTTCGCAACCGGCGCTCCGCCGTTTTTCTCAATCTCGCCATCCTTTCCTCCGGCGTCCTTCATAACTTCGTCTGCCACCTCTTGCTCCTCGCCATCTCCAGCACCTTGTCCGACCTGAGTCGGAACCTGACAACCAAGAATAGTATTAACCATGGCGACATTGGTCCCAAAATGATCCAGGTTACGAGGAACGAAAGTAACCTTGTTAATCTCCATCAAGACTGAATCCTCGGGCAGCTGCGGCAGCTCGAATTTCCTAAGGGGAAAGTCAGAAATCGCCGTGGCCCTAACCTCGGCATCGAGCTCCATCACCCTTTTCGTCCAGAGAGGAGTTTCCACCTCGAGAGTCGATTCCCCGCTCATGAGATCCTCAATCAGTTGGAGATTCGCAGTAGCTTCCTTAAACGAGATCTCGGCGTTGGTATGATCCTTCCTAATGATTTGAGAGTTCTTGCGTTTTCAAACCTCTCTTCCTCTCTTAGTTTGCTTGGGGACAAGCAAAAGGCTAAGTCTGGGGGAGTTGATATATCCATATCTTTCATGTTTTTATCAAGGTTTTCACTATGTTTTTAATACAAATAATGTGGTTTTTAGCCCAAGAGGTAGTTTTCTTGTATATTCTGGTTTTGAGCATCATTCAGGTCAAAATAGCAAAGAAGAGTCAAAATGGAGCAAAAAGAGTCAAATCACCAAGTTCCCAAGTCTAGAGCACCAAATCTACATTTCTCGCTAAAGACCAAACCGGAGCATCCGAAGTACGACCGCATTCATGCCTTCCCGACGTCCAAAAGTCATGATTCTTATATGGAAAGATAGATATTTGAGTCATGACCCGCGGCGAAGTGGAAAGAGGTCATTTGGATCACTCGTTGGACCGGAACTTATTTTCTACCAAGACATGTCCGACGAGCGCCTAAGTAGAGCCCATGGAGACTTTGATGGATCAAGAGGCCCGACCGCGCCCAAGGCCTTGGCTCATCTTGACACTAGCATAACTCAATCCAGAAGCTTCCATTGGCCTGAACGCGGCCCATTCAAGAACTTGGAGAGCAAGCTCAAGCGGCTAAAGAGAAATGGAAACTTTCCTCTTCTGCGCGCGCTCAACTTTGCCGACCTAGACCCGCTCTCTACCTATATATACTTGCTTTTAGCCTCTTGTAATCACCAGCCGCATAACAAGAAACATTATTCAATAAAGTTCGGAGCCACTTAGGTGGTCTCCTTCTTCTTTCTTTTCTTCTTTTGCATTTGTATATAGCTTGCATGTTTCAATTTATATAGTCTAGAAGTAGAGATTTCTCCCTAAGGGTGAGGCGGTTTAGTCATATTCCGCCGCCTCTCTCTCTAAGGATTCATGAGACTTCATCTACTATCTAAGACTCATTGTTGAATTATGGATCCTTCCAATGAGGACGTGATATAATGGCCATCGAAAATCGATTGTTAAAAGGGGAAACCCTATGGTTCTCCATCTTTATTTATGCTTAATGCTTGTTGCTAGAGTAGCTAACTAGTGACTTGATTTTAGGTTGATATACTCTCCAAAAGCTTGTTATATCTCCGGATATAGTATTTGATGGGCAAATCGTTTTAGGCTACGAAAGTAGACCTAAAGAGTTTTGTGAACAATCATTACTTGGATGTAATGCATGTCTCACTCTACAATGACCAACGAAAGCTGAGCCCATTGGTTTAAGAGACATAGGGGATTGGAACCACGAAAGTGGAATAATCCTTCCTTAGTGTTTTGAGTTCAAAAGAATCGGATTTTAACAAACTTTTCAATCGACTTGGCTCATGTTTTCAAAAGAGTTTTCAATAGTTCAATAATGTTGCTTGTATAGAATTGCATTGTTATTTCTTTTGTGTTCTCAACAAACACAAACCCTTGCATCTTTTGATTTAGCTTAGTCATTTAAACTCTATGATTATGTAATGTGTGAAATCCAATCCCTTGTGGTTCGACCCCTAAATACTACAATTATATGTTGTGCACTTGCAACACTAGTTGTCTTAGGGAATTATTACTTGTACTCATCCCATAGATGCCGCATCAAGTTTTTGGCGCCGTTGCCGGGGATTGCATCATAAACACTTGCATAGTCTTGTTTAAAACTAAGTCTAGATCTTGGTATTTTCGAATACTAACTTTTTTTTTTAAATCTTGTGTTTATAGGTACTTGGAGATGAATCACAACACCAACATCCACTTTGGGAACCGGACACTGATCCCACACGATCTCCACGGCCGGGTTACCAAGACCCAGCCGTAAGCATCGTGCCACATCCGTTCCCTCCCAACCGCGCTCATCCGACGTTTGAAGGACCTAGCCGAGACGAGCATCATTACCATCATCATCAAAACCGACCTCCGGTTTATCATCAACCACCTAGACCAGTGTTGCATTCACACCACGACCATGTTCTCAATAGGCGGAGAGATAGCCATTTCGATGCCGTGCTTGAGGGTTTCATGGAGAGCCAAAGAAAAACTAGCCGCGACATTGAACAAAGCTAGAGTTCACGCGATACGAACTAGATGGAAGACTTGGAGAACTCTCTACCCAAATAGAGAGAGTAGAGTCAAGATGCTTGGACATGGAGGAAGATTTGAAGAAGCAAGGCGAGGCCATTGAAGACAATAGGAGAGCGATACACTTTACCAAAGTTTCTACCAAGGAGATGGACAATCACTTAGATGAGAAGATCACAAGTCTTGATAACAACCTCGATGGCACCACCAAGAGTCTCAATTCAATAACAGCAGTAGCTCATCAAGCTAAGAGGGAGGTAGCCGAAGTAACCCTAAAAGAGAGGCAATGTTACTCGACGATGCTTACATTGGTGGAAGGGCAAAAACAAGTGAAGGCACAAATCCGAGATTTACACATCTCTCTAGACAAGAGGAGCCAAGATATTCAAAGAAGAGCTAGAGGGCTTGAAGACAAAGTAGATGGAGTCTCCAAGGAAGTCAAGGATTTAACCACTCGCTTAGCCAACTTGGAAGAGAAGGTCTTGACCGAGGCAAAGACGACCGGTTCTAAGCACAACCATGCCGCGCCGTCTTTACTATAAGAGAGACCGACCCAAGAGTGATTTGGGATGAAGAAGAAGAGAGAGCTGATCAAGAAAGAGCCACGAAGGCTAACCACTGGAACAAGAGAGAAGATAGCACCAAAAGGAAGAACCCTTACTCAAAGGTCTTCACAACCGCCTCCCACCAAGGAGAAGAGGAAGACAAGATCATCACTTGAAGAGATCATAGATGATTTCAACTTTATGGCAAGGAGATTCCCTTATGGTGTGCCGTTTGATAATGCTTGCAACAAGAGTCCATTCATGCAAGACCTAGCTTGGACACAAGATTGGAGTCTAGCTGAATGGAAAAGATGTACGAGGAAGCAAGAAAGGGAATGCCTAAACCTAGGTTTCTACACAAGCTTCATGACCCAGGTTACTTCCTTATACATTTCTCTATCAATGGAAGCTACTTTGATGATGCTCTTTGCGATTCCGGTTCTAGTGTGAACCTTATGCCGGCCGAGATAGCCAAGAAGTTGGGATTGATCAATTCAATTGTGAAATCTCGAATGGATTTAAAGCTAGCTGATTCATCATTGACCGAACCACTTGGAGAGGTTAAAGACATTCAGCTTGATTTTGGAGGCTGCATAGTTCCAGCCAACTTCTATGTAGTAACCATGAAGGATCCGGAGGACTTAAAGCTTTTGCTTGGAAGATCATTCCTAGCCACAGCTGGAGCGATCATGGATTGGCCTAATAGAAGAATCTCTCTAGCCAATGTTGACAAAGACACCTTCTACGATGCTGCACCTCCCGGTTTCTCATCCAAGCGATTTCGCTACACAAGTGGAGGAGAGTGCTCACAAGTAAGAGGAGAGTCGCATGGCTACTTGATCAAGGAAGTTCTACAGGACAAGATGCACTTGGAATCATCAGGCAACAGGAAGTTCTTGGAGCCACCAATCCTACCTAACTAAGAACACAAAGGAGTCGAGCTACAAAGACTTAAAACAAGCGCTTGTGGGAGGCAACCCACATTTTCTTATCCCTTCCTCTTTTTTTTTTTTTTTTTTTTTTATTTAACTACTTATTTGTTCTATTTATAACTCTTAAATTTTTGAGAGTTTAATAAATTTTATAAAAATACAAAAAAAAAAAAAAAAAAAAAAAAAGGAAGGGTCTTGATGATAGGATTTGTGTGTGAAGTGATATGAAATGAGGTGGAATGCAAACAGGGGTGAATAAAGATGATATGGTATGGTGCAATCACAATCAATCAATTCCTCTTAACCATCATAGTCATTGAAGTATAAGAGGTTATCAATCCAAAATGGGAAACTTGTCACTCTTTGAGAATATGAAACAACCTGAAAGTCAAGCAAGCAGTTATAGATTTGAAGTAACACTAACAACCTAAAAAAATGAAAAGCAGTGCAATAAAAGTAAACAAAGCAGTGAAGTGTCAGCTCGACCAAGAGCTCGAGTCGAGTAGAGCAAAGTACCAGCTCGATCGAGTTTAGGGACGAGTTGAGACAAACAAAGCTAAAGGTGACGACTTTAACAAGATAAAGAGAGAATTAGGGTTCAAGACAGGGTTTTGCAATCAAAGGAATCTACACTTAATCAATCTAGCTCTTAAAACTCCTTGTATCAAGGCTTCTCTTGATATTGGGCTTCTCAATGCCTAGCCAACCCTTTCCCAAGGTGGAGGCTATCAACCAAGGAATGATCTCAGAAACAGGGGGTTAGCCAGTGAGAATCAAACCTTGGAGGCTATAGGATCATTGCCCAAACTAATCCATCCAACCCCTTAGACCTCTATTGTCTAGAGCAAGAGATATTGGAGCTCTTAGTGGATCTTTTCCAGCGAATGCCATCACTTTCGTGTGGGGAGTCGCCTAAGGACTTACAAGCCAGGGGTAGTGGTCATGTAGCCTTAAGATCTATCCAAAAGAGAGAGAATCTAGATTAAGACCATAAGCTAGAAGGATTAAGCATATGAAACCTCTAATCTATCCCATCTCAAACCCCAATGGGTAACTACTCACTACACATGAATGTAAACACAAGCAAATGCAATAAAAGAGACATCATAAGAAAGAGGAGATGAAATTAAACAACTTTTATTGAAATAAGCAAGTGCAAATACAAGAGAGATTATCCAGGATCTAGGATTCAAGAAGCAAGAGCTTCAAGAACACAAAGATGGATTAGATCTCTAAAAAGTAAAAGTACAATAAATTAAAAGAAACTAAAACAAAAGTAATCTAAAGCTTGGTGGTTTTTTCGTGGCTTAGAGCCTTTAAATACAAAGAGGATTAGGTTTAGGGTCAAAGGAAGTCAAGGGGGAAGCAACATTTTTCGGGTTTGACTTTGACTTCCAGCTCGATCGAGTTGAAGCTTGGCCGGTCGAGTTGAGGAACTCGACCGGTTGGTCGAGTGGACGGTCGAGCTGGTCTTCAAGATGGCTTCTCCCTTCTTCCTTTGCGTATCCAGTTGAGCTGCTTCCATGTGCCAAGTCCCTCCATGCTCCTTTGTCCCATATGCTCCAGAATGCTCCAAAAGACCTATTTCAAAGGACCAAACATGCATATGTATGCAAATGCAACCTAAAACTAACATGAATGCATAAGAAGAGAAAAGGAACAAGATATGATGCAAATGGAAAGCTAAAACTATGCAAAAGATGCATAAAAGATGTGCTAAAACTATGTAAAATGCAAGTACATCAACACCCCCAAACTTGAACTTTGCTTGCCCTCAAGCAAACAAATAGAACAAGAAAGAGATGAGGTTTGAAAATAGCTGATTCAACACTTAAAAACATGTCCTCAAAAGCGATTTGCTAAATGTCCAACTTAGAGATTCTAGAATGCAACAAGGTGAGAGATATTCATTAAGATTTAACCATGCTTATCAACATCAATCCCACTTCACAGTCACTCAAACAATGCATTCAAATCAGCAAATCCCTTTAACATTCATTAAGCAAAAACAGTGAACCAAAAACATGCAAGATCAATCAACTCATTTGGTTTCAAGGGTTTATGGGTTAAGAGACAAAGAGGGTCTCTTTTGTATGGTGGTTTAGTAACAGGGATCTCTCAAGAAAGTGGCTTTGCTTTGGCAGAAGGCTAAGTGTTAGAACCAAAGATGATGCAAGAACAGCAGCTCGAGCCGCCTAATCCTAACTCGATCGAGTTCAACACTTAGAGCTTTTTAGAACAAAATCCTAACTACCCTTTTTGGCATTTCGCCTTTGAAACTGAGGAGCTTTGCTCACTTTTCTTTTAAGAACTTCCTAGGGAGAGGCTTCTTGAGGTAACATCTAGCGGTTTGGGATTTTCTAAACACTTAGGGAACTTTTCTTTCCTTTTTGGACACTTGAGGCTTTGCCTTCTTTTCATTCTACTTAGAACCCTTTTTACTTTCCTTTTTTAACTTCCCAAACCTTTACTAGACCCTTTTAAACACTGCCAACTCCCTGGACTTAACCAAACTCTTTTTCCTTTGGGTTTTTCCCAATTTTTACCACTTTTCTGGTTTTTACACCCAACTCGATCGAGCTCGAGTTGGCACCCCCAAACTTAGCCTGAAAACAATCCCAAGAGAACTAGACAACTAGAACTACTGCCCCTGCCGGTTTAAACACAACACCTTATGCTAAGCAAAGCCAAGAAAGGTTCTCACATTCGCACAAGAGATAATAATGGGGTTTGAAATGAAAAGGCTTAGGTTTAAGGTGTGGTAACTGTCTCAAAGATAGAGATCAGCTATCTGGACAAGCAAAAGGGATATGAAAATGGTAAAGAATGTCCAGATATGTATGTGGTAGCCATGAGTTGAAATCAAATGCAAGCATTGGTAATTAAAGATCAAGTTATGGTTCAAATAGATAGGGAAATGCATCAAATCACAGCAATGGTTGAATGAGATGTGCATGCAGTGATATGATCAAGATAAACATGGTTCTTGCTGCTCAATCAATCTCACCCTAATGCACAAAAGAATCTAAAAACAGGGCACTCAAGAAATCGCAAAAGATGGACAAGTTTTCAAAGTCAAATCAACAATGCAAGTGAAAAATGCAATCCTAAACAAGTCTAACAAATATGAATGCAAAAAGATGAAAATATTTTTGGATTTTTTGAAAATTTTATGATTTTTTTGGTTTTTCTATGCAAAAGATAAATGAAAAACTAAGAACAAAGAAAACAAGGTTAAATCATCTCTTGAACCCTCCCCCAAACTTAAATCACACAGTCCCTTGTGTGAGAAAAATTCAGTGAAAGATTCAAGAGGGCAAAACCAAGAAAAAACAAGAACAAATGCAAGAAAATATGAAATGGTATATACAAGGGTTGGTGTTTGGATACCTCAGTGTCCCCCAAAGAACTGGGAGACTAGGTCGTGGTCTGGAGATGGGAGACGGCCATCAGGAGCGCTCCATGCAACTGGGGTTGCCTCTTGCGGCTCACTCGATCGAGCTTGTGGCTCCTCTTCCTCCTCTTCTTCATCGTTGAAATGTGTGTGGCTTCCTTGGCCTTGGTGGAGCATTGGTAGCTCGTACTGTCCATAGGGGTTCCATCTACTCCGGGGAGGCTCCTGGTAAGGCTGGGATCGTATTCAAATCCCGGATCTCAAACTGGGGCTCCTCCAGGTCAGCTCGACCGTCAGCTCGATCGAGTTGAGTTTCCTCTGTTTGGACTCGATCGAGTCCGGTGGTCGAGCTGGAGCGTCTGGCCTTGGAAGTCTTCCTCCTTCTCTGCGTGTTGTCTTCTCCTTCCCTTGGCTCGAAAGAAGAGGCTCTGTGAGGCTCTTGGGCAGGGAGCCTCCTTGGAGTGGTGAGGAGTGACCTACTCCTAGGGAAAGTGGGAGCCTTGGACTTCTTCTTGCTTGAAGAACCAGAAACCTTCTTCTCCAAACTTTTGATCTTGCTCACCATCTTGTCCATGGACTTTTGCATCTTCTCAATGGCTTTCCCTTGCCATTTGTTGAACTTTTGGAGAAGTCCAATCCTCTTGTGGCAGCCACAACAGAGGGGTTCATCCTTGGAGCCTCATACTCCTCAAAGTAATAGCACTCAGGCTCACCCACCCAATCAGCGCTCTCTCCTGCACTCAGCTCGATCCTCAGCTGACTCAGCTCGATCCTCAGCTCGATCGAGCTCGATCTCTTCTTCTTGCAAATCCGCTTCATGCCCAACCAAAGTGTACACAGGGGGTCTGAAGTCAATGTTTGTACCTCCTAGGACCGTGGTGAGCTCAGGGTTGGGCAGAAGAAGCTTGGAGAGTCCAGCCGTGGGGTGGGTGAACTTGAATTGGAATCTCCCATCCAACTCCTTGTGCTCAATGAGGAGGTTGGTCTTGCAAAACTTGATGTCCATCCAACCTGGTGGAGTAGACCTTCTCTTGTCCACTTGAACTCCTGCTGCACAAAGAATTGGTGTGATCACCCCTCCAACACTAAGCTTTCTTCCTCTTTGGTGCCTAGTGTTGTAAGCTGTGACCTTGTAGGCTTGGAGCTGCTCAAGGAGAGGCATGAGATTCCCTGCGTGTGCCCTGTCTCCTCTGATCTTCTTCCCATCCTTGTGCGTGAGATGATGGGCTTGATTCCCATGGTAAGGAGCTTCACTTCTCCCTCATTGATTGTTCCAGTGGCTTTCCTTGCAAAGAAGGTGTTTGCAAGAGCCTTGTGGACATATCTAAGCACAGGACTTCTGATCTGGGCAGCCTTGGACCTTGAGGAAGAGTACCCCTCTTCAGCTATTGTAGCCCATACTCTTTGGAGTTCTTCTTCCTTGATGTTCCATGGTTACCTTCTCCATAGGTGAACCCAAACAGTATCTCAAGCTGCCTAAAGGTCACCATCTTCTTCTCTCCCTTTGCTAGGAAAGTTATGTACCCCCAGCCTCGGTCCAACTCAGCTCGATCGAGCTCATCAAACTCGTGATGCTTCATCGACGCCAAAAACTCACAAGTCAACTCCTTGTAAGACTCCATGCGGTGAGAGAAGAACTTCCCCAATTGCATGTTCTTGAGCACCAACTCCACATCCTCAAAGATCCAAGATCTCTCATGGTGTCATCATGTGGGTACTTGGTCTCCACAAAGTCCATGGAGAAGAGAGCATTGTAGTGCTCTTGGTACATGGGGAGCTCATCCTCCTCTTGCTCTTCCTCAGCCTCTTCCATTGGCTCATCTTGGTTCCCCTCTTGTCATCTTCATCAACCAATTGGTTCACCTCTTCTCCTTCCTCTTCACTCTCAGTTCCTCACTCCTTCCTCATTTGGAGAGCCATTTCCCTCCTCTTGAACAAGGTTCACTCCAATCTCAAACTCCCTTGCTCACTCTCACTACTATAGGGTCATTCCTCTTCTTGGTTCTCCTTTCTTCCCTCAGCCTCTCACTCTCAGACTGTTCCTCAGAGTAGACATATCCTCTGCATCAGATCTTCCATCCTCTGATCCATCTTCTCCAAATCGGCTTGCATCTTAAGCCTTGTCTCTCTTGCATTGCTTGATCACCCTCAACCATTCTCCTCTGTGAAGCGGCTTCCCTCACTGTTTGTCATCTTGTTACTCTGTTTCTTCACTAAAGTACCTGAAATGCATCAAAGATTACAAAGAATTAGAGTTGTAATGATCGGTTTGGTCAACTCGACACTCAGCTCGATCGAGTCAAAAAACTCGAGTGACAAACTCGATCGAGTTGGGTGAAAACAGAGTATAACCAAACCTAATTCAAGTATTAAGAGCTGGAAAAGATGCTAATCAATCAAATTGAACCAAGAACAACTAGTAAATGGAACAATGAGCAATTATAGAGAAGACTAAGCATCTTAACCAATACCAAACTCAAATTCAATTTCAAGCACATGCAACAAGTTTAAAGGCAAAACAGAGGTGAGGTGAAACAAATTAACAAGATTATACAGCAGAGGCGAAATATGAGGGCAATTACTCAAGAACAAGTCCACAAGGGACACATGCAATCAAAAATCAAAGGAAACAAGCAATAGGAAATCGAGATGGATGAATCAAGGGTTTTAGGGTTCATACCTTGCTTGAATGAGGAATTGAAGACAGTAAACAAGAACAAGCAAAACAAGAGAGAACAAGAAATCGCAAAAACTTAAGAGAAAAGATTGAAATCGAAATTTTCTTGTGGTGAAGAGAGAGAGAGAGTTTCAGAAATTTTAAGAGTGTGGGAGAGAGAAGTGGATTCGATCGAGTTATGGGGAAGAGGGGTGTTTGAGATGTGTGGTTGAGATTAAAAGATGAAATAAAGAGGGAACAAGAAAGCTAGGGATTCTCTGATCAAATTAGGGTAGTGGGGGACCAAAATCAGCTTGTGGGACCCACTCCCTTGACCAAGAAAACGGTTATGAATTTGAAATTCAAAAACTTACCTCGGTCGAGTTGTGTAGCTCGATCGAGTTGCCCTGGTTTCTAGCTCGATCGAGCTATCGGTCGAGCTGGCTCCTTTGACACCTAAACTTAACTTATTCAAAGGTTAAAAACATAAAGATAGATAGAAATTGCATAAATAGAGTATGTACAAGGATAAACATGGGACTTCCTCCCAAGTGAGCTTGTTTAAGGTCCCATAGCTTGACCTTTACCTTCTTAGGCATTGGTTGAGCTAGTCCCACCATCAAGGGTGATAGTGAGGACTTGAGACAGAAGCTCCTTTAGCTTGGTTGGGTCCCTGGACTGTTCTGAAGTCACCAAGGCCTTGGCTCTAGAGAATGGCCTTGATCTCCCCTTGTACCTTATCTTGTACTCAATCTTCCCATTTTCAAACTTGGTGGGGAACAAAGTCATTGTGAGCTGAGATGGCTTGACTGAAGGGGCCTGAGCTGGTGGATCCTTTCTTTTATCCCTGGTCTTGCCTTAGAGGCTACATCCTCCCCTTCTTTTAGAGCCCTTCCTAGTGGCTCATCAAACAAAGCTTGAAGGCTCTCTTCATCAAGCACACAAGGGGCTTGAACAAGTC